CAAGTTGGGTCTTGTGTTGCTCTCTGATTCACAACTATGTAAGTCTTTAGATGTGATTTCCCACCTCCTTAGAATCTATGAGAAGTTCTACTTCGGTTTTCCCTGCAATTCTGTCAATGCCCTTGACATCCTCAGTGATGATCTGGAGCATGAAAGGGCATTAGAGTAATCACAGCTAGAATCCTTGGTAGCAGTGGGCAAGCATCTCCCTCAGATGACAGGTTTCAGCCCCTGCCTCTGGCTCTCTGGCCTCTGGTCAGCTCTTAGCACCTGTGCACAGCCGTGGACTTATTTCATTTCATCTCTAGCCAGGCCTCCTGTACCCAGCACTCTGGGTACTTGATTTCCCACAGCTTCTTACACATGATAGTGGTAATCCACTGGGGGTCTGGTCTGATTCAGTATTGACAAAAACTGGACACTGGGAAAGTAGGTCATGATTTCATTCTGGGAGTCAAGGACTGAAGCTGAAAACCATAAACTCTAGCCCTTCCTTTATTAAACAGCTTTTTGTTTTTGTTTTGCTTTTAGCTATAAATCCAGTCACCATAAATGAAGTTTTCTTGCTTTTGAATTTTACTGAAATGATATAATATATGTAGTCTTCTACAACTTGCTTATTTTAAATTCTTTCTCTATGTTTCTAAAATGCCTCTATGCTGCTCATTTTCACTGCTGTATTTATAATATTCATTTGTATGTGCCACAGTTAACTGTACTACAGTTTATCCATTTTTCTGTTAATGGGTAGCTAGGTTGTTGGTAGTAGTTTGCTACTGTGAACATTGTTGTATATATCTTCTGGTTAATGTGGGTATGAGTTTCTCTGGAATATATAATTAGGAATGAAATTCTTGAGTAGTAGGTATGCAAATGTTCAGCTTTTCAGCATAAAGTCAAATTGTTTTCCAAAGTTTTGTGGCTGTTTATACGCCCACTAACATTGAATAAAAGCTCCCTTTGTTCCTCACCCTTGCCAAATACTTAGTATTATCAGATTTTATAAGTTTTTGAAAATTTAATAGTTTAGCTCACACTGCAGTATAAATTTGCATTTTCCTAATTACTAATGACGATTCTTCTGTGAGACCTAGGACTTCCCTGGTGGCAGAGATGGTAAACAATCTGCCTGCAATGCAGGAGACCTGGGTTCGATCCCTGGATTGGAAAGATCCTCTGGAGAAGGGAATATCAACCCACTTCAGTATCCTTGCTGGAGAATCCCATGGACAGAGGACCCTGGCAGGCTACAGTCAGAGGGGTCACAAAGAGTTGGACACAACTGAATGACTAAAACTATTACTATTCTTTTGTGAAATGTATATTTATACCATTCACCTATTTTTATATGGAGTTGTTTATCTCTTATTGATTTGTAAGCATTTTACATATTCTGGAATACTGGATATTTGTTATATTTATTACACATGTATTTTCCAAATTAGTAGGTTTCCTTTTCTGGTTATATTTGTTGCAAATTTATTTTTCAAATTAGTGGCTTATTTTTTCCTTTCCTTTATGATGTCTATAGACTACCAACTTGAGGTCTAAGAGATTCTTAACATTTCAATTAAAGTCTTTAATTTTTATGACATTGATTATATGGTTTAAGATAAGGTTCAACTTCATTTTTTTCCTGTATGGAAAGCCAGCTGTCCCAGAATCACTTATCTCCTGTGAACTGCAATGCTACTGCTAGCTTATATCAAGTTTTCATATATGTGAGATTATATTTGGGTGTGTTGATTGCTTTCAGTGAAGTATTAAAATTGGCTCCATAAAGGATGTGCATATTTTTTCTTAGATTTATTCCTAGGCACATTGTGTTTTTATGCTAATGTAAGTGATATCTTCTTTGTTATTTCATTTTCTAGAAACCAATGCTGAGATATGGAAATGCAATTGATTTTTCTATTTTGATCTTTTTTCCAATCACATGGTATAGACTCTTATTATTTAAAAAAAATTATCTGTACATTCTTTTGGGTTTCTATGTGGTTAATTCTATCATCTGGAAATGACAAAAATTTGTTTCTTCCTTTCCAAACCTTGTGCTATTTTATCCTTGTCTTACTGTACTGGCTATGTCTCCTGTGCAATATTGAATAGAAGAGGTGATAGCAAGCATCCTCGTCTATTACTGATTTTAAAAGAAATGCTTCTCATATTTTAAACATTGCTGTTTAAACAATTAAACAATGCTGTTTGCTACAGGGTTTTGGAAGATATGTTTCAAATTCAGAAAGTTGTGACTCAGCAATTTCACTTCTAAGGGCACAAAAACACCAGTTTGAAAAGATATATGAAGCCCTATGTTCACTGCAGCATTATTTACAATAGCAAGATGTTGAAACAACCTGTGTCCATTAATTGATGAATGGATTTTTAAAATGTGGTATATATACAAAATATTAGCCATTAAAGAACAGTGAAATCCTGTCATTTGACAACACGAATGGATCTTGAAGTTACTATGCTATGAGAAGTCACACAGAGAAAAATGAGTACCATAGGATTTCATTCATGTGTGGAATCCAAAAAACAAAACTGAACAAACAAAATAAAACAAAAACAAAGTCATAGATACAGAGATCAGAGCAGTGATTACCTGAAAGGAAGGAGTAGAGGGTGGATGAAATGGGTAAAAGGGGGTCAACTGTATGATGACAGATGGTAACTAGATTTGTGGAGGTGACCACTCTCTAGTGTATACAGACATCAAATTGTCATGCGGTACACTGAAACTTATATAATAAAAAAAATTTTAAGCTTCAAGAAGGAAAAATAAAAAGTTCTTTTTTTTGCTGAAAGTTTTTATCCTAAATGAATGTTGAACTTTGTCAAATTATATTTTCTTCTTCTATTGAAAAATCATATGCTTTTCTCTTTAATTTGTTAATATGAGGATTGCTAAGTCACCCTTAGAATGTCAAATTTTAAAATGAATTGAATTAAATGTTCATTATATTCTTTTATCTTTTTGAATCTTTTCTATACCTATGGTTATGTCTGTTTCTTTCACTCATTATTTATTTCTTCTCTTTTATTTAAAAAAACCAATTTAAGAGGACTGCCTTTAGTCTTTTGACTTTTTCAATGAACAAACATTTGGCTTATTTGACCCTATTTTATCTTTATTCTCTATTTCATTTACATTTGTTCATATATTTATTATCTTCTTTCTTTAGGTTTATTTTGTTCTTCATTTTCTAAGTGAAGTTGGACACTTAGCTCATTGATTTAAGCCCTTCTTCTTTTCTAATAAAACTAAGGTGATACCTCTAAGAACCATTTGCACTGCATCCCATGAGTTTTGATCTATTGTTTTCCCTTTCATATTTACTATATTTAAAATTTCAAAGTATCTTTTAAAATACCTTTATAATTTTTTTGACCCAGAAGAAATGTATAGTTTTACTTTCCAAATGCACGGTTTAAAAAAAATACCCTTTGGTTATTGATTACTAAGTTAGCTACATTGTAGTATAGAATGTGGCCTTATAATATAGATTCTCTGAGATTTACTTTATGAACCAACATGGTCAATTTTTATAAATCATCATGTCAACTTGAAAAGAACACACATCCTCTAATTTGGGAGTGCAGGGTTTTATACCTATGCCTAGAAAATTCCATGGATGGAGGAGCCTGGTAGGCTACTCCATGGGGTCACAATCAGCCACGACTGAGTGACTTCACTTTCTTTCTTTCTTTATTAAAGTTATTAACTGCAGTGTTCAAACTTATAGTAATGTTTTGTCTGTTTGACTCTCATTAATGGAGAGATATAGTAAAACCCTGGTGGCTCAGATGGTAAAGCGTCTGCCTACAATGCGGGAGGCCTGGGTTCGATCCCCGGGTCAGGAAGATCCCTTGGAGAAGGAAATGGCAACCCACTCCAGTCTTGCCTGGAAAATCCCATGGACAGAGGAGACTGGTGGGCTACAGTCCACGGGGTCCCAAAGCGTTGGACATGACTGAGCGACTTCACTTTCATACTTTTTACTCCTCCTGCCATGATAATAGAAATTTCTCCCTGAAGTCTTGTCATTTTTCGTTTTATATATTTTGAGGCTGCTATAGGCCCAACATTTTAAACTGTCATAATCTTCTTGGTGAGTTGGTCATTTTAAAATTATGTAGTGACCCTGTTTATTGCTAATCATAGTTTTGTTACTAAATGCTAATTATCTGGGCTTCCCGGGAGGCAATAGTGGTAAAGAACCTGCCTGCCATTACAGGAGATATAAGAGACATGGGTTTGATCAATTTATGCTAGCTTTATTTGTTTTATTTAGCTAGTATATACTTGCCATTTTTTTTACTTTAAACTTTTCACTTATTTATGCTTTGTACATGTCTACTAAATAGCATATAAATGGTTATTGTTTTGATCATTAACTTTCACTACAATTATTGAGATATTTAGACTTGTTTTCTATCATCTTTGTGCTTTCTATCTTTTTAAAAATGCTTTAAAATTTCTGTTTAGAATTGAATTGGGGGTTTGGTTTGGTTGATTATTTTTTCTTATTTCTTCTCCCTGTTTCCCCTAGTTGATTTGAAGTTATACATTTTTTCCTATTCTTTTATAATTACAGTTAAAATTTAAATAGGCATTTTAAAATATTCTCAGCTCAGTTCAGTTGCTCAGTCATGTCTGACTCTTTGCGACCCCATGGACTGCAGCACACCAGGCCTCCCAGTCCATCACCAACTCCCGGAGTTTACTCAAATTCATGTCCATTGAGTCAGTGATGCAATCCAACCATCTCATTCTCTGTTGTCTACTTCTCCTCCTGCCTTCAATCTTTCCCAGCATCAGGGTCTTTTCCAATGAGTCGGTTCTTTGCATCAGGTGGCCAAAGTATTGGAGTTTCAGCTTCAACATCAATATTTACAATTAACACCCAGGACTGATCTCCTTTAGGATGGACTGGTTGGATCTCCTTGCAGTCCAGGGGGCTCTCAAGAGTCTTCTCTAACACCACAGTTCAAAAGCATCAGTTCATTAATTTTTAAATATCCTAACAAAGTCTAACCTTAATAAATATTTTAGTTTCCTTTTAAACAACATAAGGACCCTGGAATGCTTTACTTCTAATCATTCAACTACCAACTTATGTTCATTTTAGTCCAGTATTTTAGTTCTATCTTTGAAAAAAAAAAAACAAAACCCATGCTATTTTATATTGACAATGTTTTACTTAAGTGTTTATTATTTTTTTGCATTCACCATTTCTTCTTGAATATTTCAGATCAACCTCTTAGGCTTATCTTTTTATTTTTCTGCTTAAAGCATATTTGCTAGAATTTTGTCTGTAGGTAATTTGTTGATTTGGCTTGAATCTCATTCTGAGTGGCTCACTTTTTTGTGTTTTGGGTGATTTTAAAAATTATTATTATAAGCTCATAGTTTACTGAATTTAGTCTGTCTGAATCCTGAGAGCCTAACCTGAAGCATGGTCTCTGATACAGAATCTACAATTGGTCTTAGAGTTCTAGAGACCTGGCTTAACATGGGAATCCCAAGGTTAGCTCCTCTACTTTTTGTCAGACTTGAGGCAACCCTGGATTTCTGTTTCTCTGTTTGCTTTCTTCCTGGAACTCATAGGTTTTAGCAGATGTTTCTTCTTTCCCCTCTTTCTTGGCCCTGAGAGAATTCTCTCACTTAAAAGTCTAGCAACATCTTCAAAAGTGTCTTGTGTAGTTAATGGGCTTTATAGTATATATCCCACCATTCTCCTGCTCCATACATTTTAAGAACCTCATTCTGTATTCTTGGCGGAGGCAGTCACTTGGGTATTTAATTAAAACAAAAATTTTTTTTTCAAGTAAAATCACTGTAACAGTGTTTTTTAAAATTGAGGGATGCAAAATTAATTTTATGGGTCATAAGAAGCACTAGAAAATGAGGAGAATAAAAGGAGAATAAAAAATATCAGTCTTTTATAAGTAGCAAAGTTAAAATTATCTCCTGAAACATTGTATTTGATTATATATTTACATGTACTATTAATAACTTGTGATATAAAACATATTTCTTACTGCTGTCACGGGCAATTTTTTTGTGTAAAGCAATTGCCTAGAGCACATAACTCTGAAACACATAACTCAATGACCCCAGGATCCATACAATGGACAGATGACCCAAGGCTTCTTCAAGAAGAGAACCTTAGTCTGGCCCTCGCTGGGTCCATCTCTGTAATAAGGCCACTGCTTGACTAGGTAGCTACTGAGGCTGGAAATAGAGGTGACTACATAATAAATGGATTATTGCCGTTTGTTGAGAGAGGCAGTCTGCTGTAAATCTTGAGCATTCCTGCATGTCTTCGCTGAGTATGCCAAACAGCAAGGACTAACCATCCTATGATCCTGGGCCACTCCTGCAACCAGTCAAGTAGATTACTTGCTTCCTGGGAAAGGGGCTGGCTTGTTGACTGCTTGCTATAGACGCTGCTGAGTTCCTCTGCTGGGGTACAATCCACTGTGTGTGCCGCTGCCATCTGGGTCTCTCAGACCACATCCCAGCACTTGGATACAGGGCAACTTGTACCCTGCTGCCGCTCTTGTCATTTGCTGGGCTGCGAGTAAAAACTCGCTTGCTCTGCTGCACTGAATCTCACTGTTTACTTTCAGCACATAGAGCGTGGCAAACCCATCCAAATTCCTTGGTTGCTTAGCTACCAGCTTCAGAATCTTTGCCATGAATGGCATCAAGATTCGAAATCAGGAGTGTCTGAATTTACTATCTGTGTTCTTTGCAGGACACCTTGCTGTTTCATTATCCAAGAAATAATTATTCCTTCTGTTCCTCAGTGGCAATCAAGATAAAAACCACAGAGTGGAAGCCAAACTACTTCCCTCTTCCACCCTAAAGGTCACTGCAATTTTTCTTGTTGTCATGTATGCTCCTGCTGCCACCTGCTGGCAGCCTCAGCCAGCCTGCTACTTCTGTGTAAACCCCTTATCTGTGTGAAGGAAAAGCCATCTGACTCTAAGGAAAGAGAAACAAGAAGCTCAACGCAGGCAACCAACTGGTAAGCCTTCCTCAAAGCTGGTAAAGCTATCGGGGAGGAAAAATTCCTATACACTCCTGATCTTAGTTTTCACCAGATTTTACCTGTTTCCAGGTACTGAAAGAAAGCACAGATTCTGTTATTTACTTCGCCTAAATTTGAATGGTGGTCTCCTGCTAAACTGGGGTGTTCTATCACCTTGCACATAACACTGACCACCACGTTGACAATCAAGAAACCAGTAGGTAATAGCATTTGACCAAGAAGAGTCTAAGCAGCTGCAAAGCTCAACTTGACCTCCTCACAGAGAGTGAGGCTCAGGGCAATCAGGTCATTGCATATCGTGGTCCTTTACTCTGGGCAGCTAAAACCATCAGGACAATCCATTCCCTCCGTGAAGGACTTCTCACACACACATACAAACACACTCACAAACACACCTTACAGAACATAATGACTTGTTATCTGGGGTGGATTTTTGTTTTTCTTTGTTTCCCTTGCCTTGACAAAATGGGGAAAAACCCTTCCTGGGGGTGGGAGAGCTTATTTCTGACTGTTGGAAAAAGAGAAAGCAGGAATTGTTGTCACGACAATTAGAAGCTCATCAAAGGCTCATTTTGCTCATCAGCCATCATTGCCCTCTGTCCTGCACCCCCGCATGTTCCTCTAATTCAATGCCCGCCTAATGAATAACTCCTAGGAACAAAAGACCCATTCAGACTGGTGCACATCCCTATCGGAGGAGACTTGCATAACTGTCGCAGACAACTCATGTTTTCAGGCCTGTCTCTAAATTTGGTTATTCACAACCTTTATAGTTCAATATTATTGTCTAACTGTGATTATTTTCTAATTATCCTAATAATACCTATTAAATAATTCCCATTCAATCAGTTGAACCAGAGCAGCCCAGGCCAGCTCAAATACAACTTAACCTAATAAGCATCGGTCATTCATTAAGCACCAGGGCAATCTCTTAAAGGGGCTGAGTGGAATATTAAACTGCACAGGAATATTATTGCACAAATGTTATTACAAGTTGGAGTGTATTAATTTCGATGCCTCGTTTGTTCATCTCCTGCTTGGGTTCCTCTGGGGCCGGTGTGACTTGACTCTTTCAGTCTCCTGCTCCTTGTTGATCTGCATCTGTCACCCACACAAGGACAATCAAGGAGAAAAAGGCCCATAAACTTAACAGGGAAATTAAATTACCAAGGATATAAAGGGAATGAACAGAATCCATCTTCTGGCTGGGGAAATACTACCTTTGAAAACACCGTAAGCTGGCTGAGTTTCTTTAGCTGATAACTCAAAATAGCCTTTCTTTACAGTGAGGGAGATTTTTCAGGAGCTTTACAAATTTGGTTTCTAGACTTTAAATTTCAAGCAATAAAGATCAGAGACTCAATTCTTTTAAAAGTGCAGGATATTTAATAATATTTCATAAAGTAATATCAGGTAGCCATTTATTGAATGCCTACAATGTGGTGGGAACTCTTGGGAGACTCTTGGCACACCAATGCCCTTAATTCTCAAAATGATCTAGTAATGTGAGGATTATTAGCCCCATTTTTTACTCCAAGGAACCTGAGGCCAGAGAGGTTAAGTGATTCTCCTAAAATCACACAGCCTAAATGCAGTGGAACAGAATTTGAACACGGGGCTCTTTGATGCCTACCCCACCATGCCATACTGCCTCCACAGCAAACCAAAACATGTCCTAGCTTTGCTGGTTTATCCTTTTCATTTCTAGGTCTCTCACTGAAGTCAGCAGATTCCGAAAGACAAGTGCCGAGCCTTCTTGATTGGGAATATGACCAAAGATTTCATTTTATCGAAAGCCCTGACAACAGCTGTAGAGGCAGGCTGTGACCCTCACTCCAAGTAGTGACAAACAGTTATCATTATTGTCAAAAACCCTACTTCCAATGGGTGGATTTGGGTTCTCATTGTAAGGAAATGCACAGAGTATTGTAAGAAAAGAAACAAATATTTATTAATCATCTCTCTCCCATGCCAGGCACTGTCTCAGGGCTTCCATATACATTGTTTTGGCTGGTCTTCAACATAAATCTGAGTAACAGGTACAATTGTCACTCCCACTTTGTAGACACAGACTGAGGCACAGAGGGGTAAAAGTAACTCAGACCCTGACATCGCCAGAGAAACACTAACCATGCAGCTACTGAAGCTGAAATCATAGGACCTCTCAAGTGGATGTGCCTTTGTAAGGCTCTGGGAGTAGCCCCCAACTTCAGGTCTCACAAAATCTGAGTTTGTATCTGCTAACTTTTTAAGAGAATTAAAGTCCTAACCTTTCTCTACATTGTTTACACGAGTGCACACAGAAATATATGTTTTTCAGTATCTGCTTTTTCATGCTTTATTTTCAAGCTACAGAAGGCTAAAGATATCACATCAGAAAATTAAAGAGACAATGCCTTCAAGTATATGGATGTGTTCACACATATAAATGGGGGCTTCTCTGGTGACTTAGAAGGTAAAGAACCCATTTTCCAGTGCAGAAGACATAAGAGGCAAGGGTTTGATCCATGGGTCAGGAAGGTCCCTTGGAGAAGGGAATGGCAAACCACTCCAGTATTCTTGCCTGGAGAATCCCATGGACAGAGGAGCCTGGTGGGCTACAGTCCATGGGGTCGCAAAGAGTTGGACACAACTGAGTGACAAACACTTTCATACATATGTGTGTGTGTGTGTGTATGTAACTGAATCACTTTGCTGTATACTTGAAACTAACACAACACTGTAATAAAATTCAATTAAATAAAAATGAGACAATGCCCACCACTAAGTCCAATTGATTAGCCACACACTGCTGGATGGTTTCCAAAAACACATAGATTTCTTCCAGTTTTATCCCTCACCCAAAACCCTCTGCCGGCTCCTCATTCATTAAAGCATTTCATGTTTGGCCTTTGCAAGTGATGTTCCCTCTGCCAGAACAGTCTGCTCGCCTCCCTGGTCACCTCCTGTTCCTCTTCTGGTTCCTGTCTTAACAGATCATCCCTTCCAGGTGATTAGCCTGACTGACCTCCCCTCCCCCCCACCCCCATTGAGATCAGTTAGGAACCCCATGATTCTGTCCTCATTCTTCCCTAACGCTTGTTCCCACCACAACCCTCATCCCTCTATACTATGGTTTGTTTATTTATGTCTGTGTCCCTCAATGGACCACACACTTCTCAAAGTCAGAAACTGTGTTTATCCTTATAGAAACATTGTCTCCATGTCTAACATAAGGCAAGCCTTCACCAGATGAATTGTCTGCATCTAAGAATCTGAAGCTATCAGTAGAATAGATATCATTTATTGCTTGCCCTTGTGCCAGGCAATGTGCTGATTGGGGAAGATTCCAAGGAGAAGGGAATGGCAACCCACTCCAGTACTCTTGCCTGGAGAATTCCATGGACAGAGGAGCTTGGTGGGCTACAGTCCATGGGGTTGCAAAGAGTTGAACATGACTGAGTGACGAACACAGTACTATACATATATATATGTGTGTGTGTGTATATATATATATATATATAAAATTTCTTCTTTAATCTTTATCTTAGCTCCATAAGATAGGAAACCACTATTATCCACATTTAATAACAGAAAACAAAAGTTCATAAAGGTTTAGAACATGAGTGATCCAAGGCCTTACAGCTGATAAAGGGAGAAACAGGTGGTAAAGGCAGAAATCAGGACTTTGACTCCAAGTCCAGCTTTGAATCTCTACCAACATTGCTTGAAACACTCAACTATTTCTCCCGAATTTATCTTATTCCCTGAATTGCAAGAAAATAGCAGCAGAGAGACTGGACAGACCAGAAACCCAAGGCTCACAGGCCAACTGATATCCTGGGAATTTCAAACTGGATGACCAGTTTGATTTTGCAAGTGGGAAGCAGCTGCAGATTGAGCACCAAGGCCAGCGTTGAGAGTTCTGCAGTGGGTGACAAGGCCTCACTGCTTTGCCTGGATGGTTAGACCAGCACTCTTCTCAGACCATAGTCCCAGGCCTGAGCTCACTGCACTGGATGCACCCACAGTGATGCCTACCTGCTTCTCCTCTCAGCGCCTTCTCCAGCCTCACGCCCTGGATCTCGGAAGCCCTCTGCCGCTCCTCCACCTCCTCCAACTGCCTCTGGATGGCCTGCAATGCCAGGATTGTGTGTCATGCAGGAACTTGCAACATGCAGAGTCAAACAAGAGAGACAGTTCTGCCACCTACTTTCCAAGAGGAAGAAGCCCTTTCTCTTGTGTTGCCAGCTCTTTAGTAAACTGGGTAAGAATCTCTGAATTCCCCAAACAACTGGAATTTGATATTTCTCTTCTTTAATATGAAAACGTAAAGCAAGGAGTCTGTGTGTAAGCTCAATCTGACTCCAAGGAGTCAGTCCCTTTGGACCAGGCCAATCATATAGACATGCTGTCAGGCAGAGGCTGCCGGCCTGGGTGGGCAGCCTCGTGGCTGCTGGACTCCTCGGAGCCTCGGCCTCTGACCATGGTCATGGCACAGCTGCTGGAGCTACCGGCCATATTCAGAGTTGGACAGGATCTCCGGAGACAAACACAGAGCATGCTCACATTCCATTTTCCTAAGAAGAACCAGCAGATAACTCCCACGACATTGGAACAGGAGATGGGAGCCAACTCCTAGGGCTGGGTGTTCCTTTTGCAGCCTGCCCTGCCCCTGTCCTGAGCTACAAATTGGCAACCTATTATTTCATTGCACCATTGGGCTTTTTACTGGCTGCGGAAGTGTACTGTGGCTTGTTGCTAGCAGTTACTAAGACAAGACAGAGATGTTTATTTCATTAAGGCATATACTCCTTAGACTACTGTAGGTACCTATCAAGGCTTGGGGTCATGATGGGCTTTGTATTTACATGTTTGGTTTCCCCACTAGCTATTTCTCTCTTGTGTGTATTAGGAAGGAAAACTAAGGGGGAAAAAATCCCTTTCCTATATACATTTTGTTCATCCCATCAGTTTTCTCTGCTTTTAATCACATGCTGCCACAAGGCACATCTCTTGGCAGAACAGACTTTGCACCAGGCACCTTCAAGGAAGTGGCAGCTGTTTGGGCAGGTATAAGCTGTGTGTCCTTCCTTCCCTACTTTCTCCTAGCTCTGTCTCACTCCTCTTCCTCCTTAACTCTGCCTTGTTCTAAGTCCCCCCTGGAGTCAAATTACAATTGCTGAGGCACCTCTAATCTGTGAAGAGGCCTGAGCAAGGGTAGGGGCAGGGACTCAGCAGCCACCTGGCTTCTTGTCTTAGCTGAGAGTGTTTAAATCCCAAACATAAAATCTGAAATAGATGGGAGTTCTAACTAAAACTACTTGTAATTTTATGCTTTCTTCCTCTCTGTCTCTTTTTTAAAAACGACGGTATCTTTATAGATCTGTCTTCCGCTGGTAGAGTATAGCATTGCTAAAGGAAGGGAAACATTTAAATGACTTTATGACTGATTGCTTTGTAATTATGGCTATGTAATTGCTATGGACTGAGCAGTTTCCACCCCACACTAAATTCATCTATTGATGTCCGAACCCCTAAAGTGACTGTTTGGCCTTTACGGAGGTCGGTGAGGTTAAATGAGGTCATAGCAGTAGGCCCTAATCCAACAGGACTGGTGTCCTTACATGCAGAGGAAAAGATACCAGAATTCTTTCTTTCTCTTGCTCTGAATGCACACACACGAAAAGGCCATGTGAAGACACAGCAAGAAGGCAGCTGTCTGCAAGCCAGGAAGAGAGTCCTCACCGGAAACCAACACTGGAGACACCTTGATCTTGGACATCCAGCCTCTAGAGCTGTGAAAGAATAAATTTCTGTGGTTTAAGCTGCCCAGCCTGTGGTATGTCATCATGGCAGCTCAAGCTGATTGATGCAGTCGTCATTCTTTAGAAACAAAAATCTCAAAGATTATACAGGGCGGGTATGGATGCTGCTAGCAGATTAGGACGCAAAAGGCTACTGTGATTCTTCTGTTATCACTGTCTACTGTCTGGAGTAGAAATATCAGGTTGGCAAAAAATCTGTTGGGGTTTTTCCATAACATTTCATGGATGTTTTTCCATGAGATGTTATGGAAAAACCCAAATGAACTTTTCGGTCAACCCAATATAAGAAGAAGAAATTGTTGAGTTTGCCAATCCATTTCATAAAGATATCTTGTTCTCAGATGGAAAAGTTGAAATGTTTCAAGAAAGCCTGTTTCAGAAGGTGAGGATGGACAGAGGGAATTTAATTTTCCCCAACTGCTAGGTGAAGAGGGTGGCTCCTGAGTCAGCCACTGAGAAGAGTAAAGAAGGTTAGATTTAGTGACTCCTTCTTGTCAGAAACAACTTATTGGACTACACAACTGGATAAAGTGAGTTACTGAAGAAGGGGATGTAAGGGTACACTGCATTAACACAAGTGGTCATTTTAGGTCCCTTTGTCCAAAAACTCAACTACTCTTCAAGGCTAGGTTTGGGGTCCTCAGGGACAGGGGAAGTGCCTTGACTTTCTGCTTCATTTTGCAGGTGGGTAGATCAACTTGAGCAAAAATGTTTGCAGTAAACAATTAGGCCAGGAAGTCTACAGCAGAATGGTAGATGCTTATGTGTTCAACTAACCTTGGAACAGAGACAGCCCCAAGAGCTGTCAGTTCAGCAAAGACACTGTCAGAAATTCGAGAGGTTGTATCCTCACAGAGGACAAGACGAAGGCCACTGCGTGTGGCAGTCAGGGCCTGGGATGGTCTCCAAGGCCATGTGTTGGCTGCCATTCCAGCTCACTTTGTAGGACACACGCCTGCAGATGGAAAGGCAGCTGGGAATGGGCCAACTCAACACCTGGGCTCTCTGGCCCCAGAGCCCCACCAGGGACTGAACCACAGCCTTCAGAACAGCCACAAGCCTGGTGCTTCGAGAAGACAGACTGACCTTTTCCCAGCTCAGCTTCTCCAGTTCAATACAGATTTCCAAATGGCTTCCAGACCCAGATCCCCAGCAGCCCAGACCCACTCACTCGTTTGTTTTCTGACCTGAGCTTTATGAAGTCTTTTCAATTCTTCTTGCTTAACCAATTGTTTTGTTGCTTTTTCCAGCTTCCTCCTTCTTCTGAGTGTCTTCCTCTCCTACAAAAAACAAAAAGAAAACTGTGTCTAAGAAAAATGGAGTTGAAACTTACAAAATACTGTCACAGACTCTCTCTTCTCCAACCAAACCACTGCTTAACTTCTAGAACAATGATGTCCAACAGAGCTTTCTGCAATGATAGAAATGTTCTCTATCAAGGCAGAAGATTGCTTTCCTTCCCTACTTCACTTTGTACAAATAAATCATTAATAGCACCGGGTTCTCTGTGTGCCTGGGCTAGTAGAATACAGAACACTCAGAACTGAGGCATTTACAAAACTTGATCCAGGTCTTCATGACGAGTCTAGGACAACTTCTAGATTGACTATCAACCACTGCAAAGGTTCCAGGCCATTTGGATGAGGAAACCCCTACTTAAGTGGCTGGGACCTTTCTTAGAAGGCTGGGGTGGAGAGGGGCATGGTGGAAATCACTGGTAGTTGTTGTCCAGAGATTGGCTAACTCAATCTCTGTGGAGAGTCAGTCCCCTATTTAGCAAATATCTCTTAAGCTCTCATTATACTAATCTACATAATAAATGCCAGCAAGTACTGAGTGCTATGTGCCAGACACTATACTGATTACTTCACAAATATCATCTTATTTATTCTTCAAATTATGGTTTTTTTTTAATAGACAAGGAAATCAGAACTCAGAGAAGTTAAATAACTCACTCAAGATGACACAATCAGGAATTGGAAGCACCAGTAGCTAAGCCCAGGTAACCTGAATCCAAGTGTCCATATTTCCATCTAGTTTATTCTGTCTTTCCCATGCCCAATACAGTGCAGGTACATCAAGCACCTCTGTTTTATAGAAATATCAGACTTTCACCCTAAATTAAGACCATTCAAACAATTTCAGCAAGGATGCCTTGACAGCCTCACACCATTTCAGCACTTTGCGACAGCAAAGTTGCCAAAGCCCAACTCCTTTATCAAGAGTCAGCAAAGCAGAACCTAGATGGATAAAGAAAGTCTTGTACTGTCTTTTATTAAGATGACGATATAGAGAAAAAGGATGATATATCAACAAACACTCATATAACCTTATGAAGTACCAGGCACACTTCTTACGTCCTCAGTGATGGTGGTGACGATACAGAAAGGAAAGGAAAGAGGCTAAGGAAGAAAAAGATAAAGGACAGAGAAAGAGAGAAATCTGGCAGGGCTGAAGACAAGCTGCCTGTCCCCACCTATCAGATTCAGGCATTAATTTAAGGGGAGGGGTGCAGAGCAAAGAGGTGAGGGTATTTATTTTGTCTCCAGTTTCCTGACCTGGAGAAGAGCATGGCAACCCACTCAGTATTCTTGCCTGAAGAATTCCATGAACAAGGAGCCTGGCAGGCTACAGTCCATAGGTCGCAAAGTGTCAGACACGACTGAGCAACTAACACACACACACCAGTTTCCTGTGTAAAGGTTCACCAGAGCTGACATGGGCTCTATGCCATGTGGTTGGGGACATATCTGTATGGGACAAAATAGACTAAAAAACCAGAGGGGAAAACACTCCTTCCATTCCTTCAGTGTGAGCTCTGAGAAGTGGTAAAGAAGGACCCGTTTTGCCAGCTTCCCTTCCTGAAGAATGGGCCATGTCAGAAGCCAGAAGCACCAGCAAGCTTTACCACATACATGCCTTCTCAGTCATATCTGACTCTTTGCAACGCCATGGACCATAGCCTGCCAGGCTCCTCTGTTCATGGAATTTCTTAGGCAAAAATACTGAGAGTGGATTGTCATTTCCTATTTCAGGGGACCTTCTTGACCCAGGGATCAAACCCATATCTCCTGCATTGGCAGGCAGATTCTTTACCAAGGCGCTACCTGGGAAGCCCAGCTATACCACACTGCAGCCTTATATGATGATCAGCTCTGTTCTGGGTCACAAGGAAGACAACAGAGCTATTTGGAAGGCTTGCCCTAGGTTATCATGGTCTTGCTATTTTGAGAGCTTTGGACCACTCCATTCTTTTGGTTGCCATGAGTGTCAAGATGGTTGATGCTGGGGTCTCTGCCTCATTTGAACACAGAATTAACTTAGGGTCACTCAAGGGGGTGAGAGGGCCCGTAGGGAAACCCTAGAAATCAACACAGAGAATTCATTTGTGTTGAGTGCCAAACTAATCAGACACGCCCACAGTCAGAAATTAGAAATCTCTCAGTATTGTCTTTTCCCATTCTCTCCCCTTTCTCTCCCTCCCCCCCATCTTCTCTCCCCCCCACACACATGTCCCAGTCCCCTCCTGACTTGCTCCAAGCTGCGCCGTGGGGAGTGGAGCCGCTAAGTGACGTGAGATGACGCCAGAGCTCCTAGTGCCAGCTACAGAAAAGTTGAGTTCAGTAAATAAACTTGCTTCTCTCTCTTTCTCCTCAGATCCTCACTGCTCCAAAGAGTAAACACGGCCACAGCATTGAACTGCTTGTCTGTCCGCCCAGGAGGCACATGCGGGCCGGCCCCAGTACGTAAAGGAGACAATGGAGCATTTGGTCACGGGATGCATGTCTCCACATACGTGACACACAGATGCGTTTAAAGACATACAGCGACATTTGTGGTTTTAAATCCATACAGGAGTCGTTTAAAGGGGGCTCCGTAAACCAATGTTCATTAAGCAAAGAGAAGAACGGCTGTCCCTCTGCCGGCGCTCAGCTAGTCAGTGGGGATCCTTGGAGTCTCGATGCAACTGCATGGTTCATTTCGCATTTCTGATTAGAATAAACATAACATTTTCCATGCAATCTGCCTCTAGTGCTTCTTAAATGAAGCTGTGCTTCCCCCGGGGAAATATGCATCTGCTTGCTGTAATTTTTTTCGATGGTTTGCTTGTTGGATCACATATTAAACCCACTTTAAGAGCTTCAGTCACCAAATGGTTTCAAGTAAATACGTCTGGTTTTTTCTGCCTTCCCATTTTGACATTTCTGAGAAAGGCAAGCTTCTAAAAGTTATATATATATATATATATATATATATACACACACACACACACACATATATATAAAGATAATCCTTAGGGTGTTCAGGTACAAAAGAGTGGTTGCTGTCAGATGCAATGAAACATGATCTTCCTAATGAAACTGCTGCAGCTGGAGCCCACATTGGGTCTGAAATCTGGATGGTAAAACGGCCCCCACAAGCCAAGGCCCCTGTTGGTTTGCCAAGTGTTGTTACCTTTGACCTTGAGGAAGGCTGGGGATGGAATTCCTCATCTGCGGAGGAGGTGGTGGAGGAAGAGGTGGAAGAGACAGCCCCTGTCTCCTGTGCTCTGGTGGGGACATGCGTGGGACCTGAAATGGGAGCAGAACTCACTTGAAACTCCTAGCTTCCTCTCCTGCTTCATGACCCAGAGCCGCCTCTCCCTCCTCCCTGCCACCCCCATTCTCTCCCTCCCACCCTCCCTTCCCTGCACCTGCCGTGAGCATGAAGCCGCAGCACCTAAGGGCAACTGAAAATTTGGCCCTCCATGTTAATTACATTTCTGGGTCCCTGCCAAGAGCTTTGCAGCTCTCTTTTCATGTGAAAAAAAAAAGAAAGGTATTATGCAGAAATCAATTAATTCCTTAAACACCATTTATATGGTGTGTTGCTTAGAATGCATTCAGAGATGAAATCTATTATTAAAATGCGTGTCTGAAGTTAGCTGAGTTACCTAAATGCTTGTGTAAGGTTCGTTCTGCAGAGTAATTGAATGCAAAAAAGTCGGAGCCAGCTCTTAAACAAATCGCCCTTCTGCGGCTCACAGCATCTGGCACCCATTTTTACTACATGACATCTGCTCAGTGTAAAAGGGCTGGCGTCAGAATGTCTGGTCATAGAAAAAAAATCCCAAATGTAATCAGAAGCAAAAGGACTCTAAGCCTAAGGTTTTATCACATAGTCTCATGCAACATAAATATTTCATTAATTATGGCTAAACAAATGCCACTTTTATTTTCCCAACTTGCAGATATTATCACATCATCGAAGTGATGATTCAAATGCCAGAAAAGGCAGTTTAAGATAGGGAGGACTCAACAATTCCAGGCCCATGGGAGAGCTGGAGTCGAAGGGACATGCCAACTCCTCAACAAGAGGTGGATGTTTGAGGTAGGAAGTGCCCATGTTTGCTCGAATCGCTTTGTGACTTGTCTAGGGACCGACCATGTGTGTAAAGTCTTCCAGGTACCACAGGAGACTTGTATTCTGCTCAGCAAGAGCATCTGCCCGGACACATCAGCCTGAAGCACAGTCAATGATTAATATCTGGATTAACCCACCCTAAACACTGGATATCAGAACCAGCTAGGACTCTGTGATAGAAAACTTACTCATCTTTACTCTGCCATGCCAGGTTCCATCTAAAGAGAAATGTGTGCTGGGTACAGAGGGAGGAAAGGCAATTTCAAGCTGACTAACATTCTCTCCAGCCTGCCTTTTCTTCCCTGTAATTTTCAACTATTCACCCCAGTGGGAGAGGCCAAGTTTTAAAAAATAAGGGTAATTTTAACCTCCAGGAACATATTTACATATGCTGTTATTCAAAGCAAAATAATGCAAAACATCTATATAATAACACAGCCTTTCTGGGGAGGGAGTTAACTGTTTTTCACTTTAATTTGCCAGATGGGAAAGCTCAGGTGAAGATAGAATCAGGAGCAGCATAATAATGGTGGAGGCATTGTTGGTAGGGATCTGAGATTGTGTCCCAGCTCGAGCCACTAAATTACTGCTGAGTATTTTAAGCACTGAATATTCCCTTCTGTAAGCTTGAGGAACTAACTTCACCTCTTGAGTTTCTGAGGATCGTGATTTCTAACTTGCAGAACTGCTGTGGAAGAAGAAAGATCAATATAAAGAGTCTAACACAGTACCTGGTTAATTGGATGTATGCGTGCATGCTCAGTCATGTCCAACTCTTTGTGACCCCATGGACTATAGCCCTCCATGCTTCTCTGTCCATGGGATTGTCTGGGCAAGGATATTGGAGGGGGTTGCCATTTTCTCCTCCAGGCAATTTTCCTGACCCAGGGATCAAACCTGCATCTCCTGCATTGGCAGATGTTTCTTAACCACTGAGCCACTTGGGAATCCTGCCTGGTTCATTGCAGGTGCTTAAATAAATGTTTCCATCGCCATCAGCTGCCTCACCCAGATAATGAAGCAGCAGCTATTGCTACATCATCATCATTGATCCCAATGAACACTACTGCAATATTAGTGTTGTGCTAAGTCACTTCAGTCGTGTCTCTTTGCGACCCTGTGGAATAGCCTGCCAGGCTCCTCTATCCATGGGATTCTCCAGGCAAGAATACTAGAGTGGGTAGCCATGCCCTCCTCCAGGAGACTCTCCCAACCCAGGGATCAAACCCACGCCTGTTACGTCTTCTGCATCGGCAGGTGGGTTCTTTACCACTTGTGCCACCTATAAAACTGTCAGATTAATCTTCATTTTGTGGAGGAAGTATAGTGTCTAAATTTAAAACTTTTTCTAATTTTCAAAAATAAATATTTCTATTGAATTTTATTTTGAAATTGAGAAGAAAATGTTTCTAAATATGAAGCACTTCTTAAACTTCTGGCAAAGTTACATAAAGTTAAATAGTTACCCCTGAATCTCTTCCCCTGTACTCTATTCCATCATAGAACCATTCATTCTAGTTTAGTTTTCACTTGCAAGCTTATAAAGCTTGGCAGCATTTTTCTACTCTGGCTACAACGGAGTGACTGATTCTGGAATTGATCTCCCACCACAAAGCACTAGAAGTCAGGACAAAATATATGAAGCAGCTGCTTTGCTTCCAGACATTGGACAAGAGGCAGTGCAGAACAGTGATAAAGGCAGGAACACAGCGAATGAGGTAAGCCCCACAGAACACAGGGCAGGTAGGAAGAACCTAAACAGACCACAGCAGATTCTTTGAGTGGAGAAGATGGAGGTCAGTATTTGCATGGACTGAGACAATTGGAATATGTGGGCAAGAGTACTTGAGAGGAAGAAGCTTTGTAGAAAAAGGACTTCAGAAAGAAGCACAGACATCAACTTCAGTCTATCATAGATGCACAGAGAGAAACTGCACAAGGTTGGGCTGATAACTGTTGCAGAGTTATAGTGTAAATAATCTCTACAGCTTTCACAAGACTGGGAAAGCTACAAGTTTTACCCAACTAGGGTAGAGCAAACATTGAGGGCATTAGAGTGGAGACCACAGAAGAGTCACACTTGAATAATAGGGATAAATTAGTTCTAGAATAAAGGTAATTACAGACATAACTGAATAAGTTTAAAAACCAGCCTTGAAAGAAACAAATTGATCTGCAAGTTACTTTACTGCCTGCCAAACATTCTTTAATGCCTATATAACAATCTTTAAATAAAGGAACAAAATTGAGACACTCAAAAATGTAATATTTACAAAATTATTTTGTTGTTTAGTTGCTCAGTCATATCTGACCTGCAGCCCCACAAATCTAGTGGCCAGTAAACAGTTACTCAGTTCAGTTCAGTCACTCAGTCATGTCCAATTCTTTGTGACCCCATGGACTGCAGCACGCCACGCTTTCAGTCCATCACCAACTCCCAGAGTTTACTCAAACTCATGTCGATTGAGTCAGTGATGCCATCCAACCATCTCATCCTCTGTCGTCCCCTTCTCCTCCTGCCTTCTATCCTTCCCAGCATCAGGGTCCTTTCCAATGAGTTGGTTCTTCGCATCAGGTGGCCAAAGTTTTGGAGTTTCAGCTTCAGCATCAGTCCTTCCAATGAATATTCAAGACTGATTTCCTTTAGGATTGACTGGTTGGATATCCTTGCAGTCCAAGGGACTCTCAAGAGTCTTCTCCAGCACCACAGTTCAAAAGCATCAATTCTTCGGTGCTCAGCTTTCTTCACAGTCCAACTCTCACATCCATACATGACCACTGGAAAAACCATAGCCTTGACCAGATGGACCTTTGTTGGCAAAGTAATGTCTCTGCTTTTTAATATGCT